CATAAAATGTGATGTCTAAATAAGTTACAAAGCATGGTTGCTCTACTCCCATGTTTACTGGTGTCCAGCTAATAAATGGCACACAGATTCTTCATAGTTATTTGCTTTTGAGACAGTCTCTGTACATAACCCCGGTTGTCCTGGAATTCACTATATAACATAGACCAAGATGTTGGCCTCAAACTTACAGAGATCCATCTCTCTCTGCCTCCCAAGTGCTAGGATACAGATTCTTAACTGGAGACATATGCTCTGTGGCCTAGACACTGTGTGTGTGTGTGTGTGTGTGTGTGTGTGTGTGTGTGTGTGTGTGTGTACCAGTACATGTGGAAACCAGACTACTACCTTGAATGTCATTCCACAGAACCATTTCATCTTGTTTTTTGAGAAAGAATCTCTCTTTGGGATGGAGCTCATTAAGTAGGGTAGGCTGGCTAGCAAGCTCAGGTATCTTCCTGTCTCTGCCTCCTGACACGACACTGAGTTTACTAACGCATTCCACCATGCCTGAAATTTTCTGTGGACCCAAACTTGGGTCCTCTACTGACTAAATCATCTCCCCATCTCATAGACTCGACTTTTAATATTAGATTGTCTATCAGTAAAAGAAAAAAAATTAAGCTGGACAGTGGTGGTACAGGCCTTCAATTCCAGCATCCAGGAAGCAGAGGCGGGCGGATCTCTGTAAGTTGAAGGCCAGGCTGATCTACATAGTGAGTACCAGGACAGACAGAGCTACACAGAGAAGACTGTTGGGGGGGGGGGAGGGAATCTGAACGAATCCATCTCTCTGCAGCTACATTAAGCCTATGCACAAGCTACCTCAGCAGTCACCGTACAATCACAGAACCATGTGTCTGTCTTCATCCCCAGCCTGGATGCTTTATTTTCTGAGATAGGGTGGTCCAGGTTGGCTTGAAAACCATAATAAAATCATAATCTGCTGCCTTGTCTGCCTGGGTGCTAAGACTGGAAGTTTATACCTTAGGGCAAAGATCAAGTCACCATCATCCAGTACCCTTCCTAGCACACGGCGTACAGGACACCTGTGATTTTTCTTAACTTTGTTGATAATACATCAACAACTATGTATTCATAAAGCTTTTTAAAAAGCATAGGGCCAGCAAAACAGCTTGGGCAAAGGCTCTTGCCAACAATCTCTATGACCTGATTTTGATCCTGAGGCCCACAGGGTGGACAGAGGGAAGTGAATCCCAGAAGTTGTCCTCTGTCCTCCACAAATGCACTGAGGCATGTGCACCCCAACGAACACCATAAGTAAACAGATAGTAGTAAATAAATTGATAAATAAAAAATACAACAAATCAACTTCAAAAGAATATACTCTAAACTCATGTTCCAAGTGTTCATTCTCAGATGGAGACTGATATCCGTTACATAGACCATGCACCACTGCAGAAGCACTTAAGAGAGCATCTTAAGCACATTTCGTGAACTCTTATCTACACTTGCTGTATTTGGGAGAAAATGCAAGATGGGATGCAATAAATTTACTTGTTATCTGAGTGTTATAAAAATATACATATTTGAAAAACTTCTGCAACCTGCCACTATGCTCTGGGGATACCTGCTTTCTGATTCAAGATGGTGAAGGATTGGGATGGGGGTTAGAGAAGTTGGAGTGAGCCTGTGTGTGTGTGTGTGTGTGTGTGTGCGCGCGCGTGTGTGTGCATGCGTGCGTGTGTGTGTGCATGCGTGTGTTGTGTGTGTGCATGCGTGCGTGCGTGGGTGGTGAGAGAGTATATGTGAAATCTGGTGGGGGAGGCTCTGGATTCCACACCAGATGCTTACCACTACTCTCACCCCGTCATAGTTTTTTCTCTATCCAGGGACAGTGGGCATCAGTAAAAGTGACTGGCAAGTCCCAAGGGGGCAACCCAGCCTGGTGCTTTAAAGAGAGAGGAACTCGGGGAGAAAGCATAAGCAGGTAAGACTTGGGTGGCTACAAAGACAGGCTGGAACAGGTAGACAGTTATGTGGACCAGTGTGTGAGACATGGCTACAAGCTCTAATGTCATTTCTGGTACTCCACAGATGCAGAGAAAGGGACAAGAGATAGAGAGAGTTCCTGCGTCAGACACCTGTGGCCAGGGAATGCTTGGTAAGGCTCTCTCTCTTCTCTCTCTCTCTCTCATCTTCTTTTGGAAGGTGATAACCCAGACTCAAGCAATGACATCACTTATTACTCCAAGGAGGAGCAGGGTGAGCAACAGCAACAAATCCAGTCCTCATTTTCTCACAATTCGACGTTGCGACAAATGGGAGACTGTTCTGTTAAAAATTCAGCAGCCAGAAGTGAATTTTTAGACGTTTTTGGTGATGCTTCTCTGTCTCTAAATATGAATGATGCGGATTTGAGGCCTGCAATATCAGATGACAAGATACAGCGCCGGCTTCAGCTCTTGCTAATTAAACGAATCAATTAAGAGGCTTCGTCGGCAACTGTGTGGCTGCTGTTCGACGGTAGCAATAACAGCCCCACAGGGAGGTCTTTCACGGCATTAAAATGCTGTCCTCCACAACTCCATCTGATATTATTAGAAATGGTTATTTCTGTCTTGCTGTCATATTAGTAGCAAAGGCAAATTATGGAAATATGCAAACCAGGATGGTCCCAGTATGAGATCAGGTTGGGTTTTCAGCCTCCGAGGGAACAATTGCAGAAACTCCAAAGTTCCCCAAAGTTCCTTAATGGAACGGATAAATCTCTCAGCACAGCATCCATTTACAAGCTACGTAAGGGTCACATATTTACATTCCTTCCTGCTAAGCTGATGCGATTCAACTAGATGAATTATCATATTAAGTTTACCCTCCTGAGTTAAACTGATGGAGTTCAAAATTGTTTCCGATGGTTGTCATTAATCGCTGTTACTTCATAAACCCTTACTTTGAAATCTAATTGTACTGGTGTGCCAAGGGTCGCATTAATAGACTCCTTAATGGTAAATCTTTGTAAAACATGTTTATTCTACTGATGTTATCACTCAAGCTTTCAAGGCTAATAAGAAATAAAGTATATTTATTATCAATAAAAACTTAATTTAAAATGTACAATTTGAGATTCAAATTAGCTTTGAGAACTTCAGCCACAATTTGGTTTCATTAAGATCTCTGGCTAAGTGTCAAAGACAGAAGCTCATAGTTCCTTAAGCCCTTAGTGAAACCAATACCATAGCTTTGATCTCTCCAAAGTGGGGAGAATCAGTCTCAGTGAGATATATGCTTGCCTTATACTGCAGTGTTTCAAACATTAAATAGAAACAATGACTAGAATTTAAATAATGAACACAATGGTAACTTCCACATTCCTAAATTAAAAGAAAAAATATTATTGCTTAGTGTGAGAAATTCTAGTTTAGCAAAACACTGCCTTTTCAGTTTCTTAACTTATGCTGTTTGGTGTATAGACTCACAGCTTAACAAAAAAAGTGGGACCCAACCAACTTGCTGCCTGAAATAGGCACCCCTGTCCTAAGGACAGTTCTGGGACCTTCGTTTACCAAGAGGATTTTTGGACTGACTGTTTGGGTTCCCAGCCTGACAAACTCTAAGCACTTTCATGACAGGATTCCAGAGGTAGCCTCTTGGGGAAGTGATTAGGCCTAATCAGAGGAGGTCCTGAAGGGGCTCCAAGGATCAGCTCCCTAAGAAGAAGAGAGTGCGTGTCATCCTCAACCCACCACCATCACCCCTGCGCTCCACCCTGCCCTGTGAAGGCAGAACAAAAGAACCACCATCAATTTCTGAGAGAGCCCCCTGGTTTACCCAGTTCAGAATTTGTTCTGAATTCACTGTGATGTTACCAGCTTGACTTTAAGACAAGTAAGACCTGGCTTCGATCCAGGCTCTGCTCTACCAGTTAATCTACACCCGGTGGTTATTTAACACCTCTGTGCTTACTTGGCGTCACACATCTGAGTAGAAGACATAGTTCCTGTTATAGGGGGTGATAACAGACATGAGAAATACTTGCGGAAATAAGTGGCCATATTCAAGTGAGGCATTAGAAAAAGCAGACCTAAGAAGCAATGAACTATGAGAACATATTTTTGTATAAACTGTCTGAGTCATTTTAATTTTCATACATGTCAAATAATCTTTCCCATGTATTTAAATATACTGGAGTGAACAATGTCATCTAAAATGTCATGTTCTTCAGAACCTCACAGGTATGACATTATTTGGAACCAGAGTTTTGCAGTTGCCAGCAGATAGGAGTTTTGAATGGGTTGGGTAGGTGAACCCCGAGTCTCTTAACTGGTATTCTAGATTCACATGAATAAATGAACAAAGAAAGGGCCACATGATGACAGGAGCCTAGAATGACAGCTCCAAGCCATGGAAAGACAACGGCACCACCACTACCAGAACCTGGGGGAAGGGGTCACCAGCCCTTCCTTAAGACCCTGAGAAGCTAGCCAGGCTGCATCTGATTTGGAGTTTCTTCTTCAGGATTATCAATGAATTTCTGATGTCCTGAGATACCTATATGCAACAGGCAACCTGTGGTAGGGTCAGCTAACTCAGAGTCATATTGTTGGAACACGGTCTGCCATGTGAGGAGAATTCTGAGTGCTTATTAGAAAACTCCAAAAAGCAAGACGAGACTCTTGTAATCTCAGTTTCTTCAAAAACTCAGAATTATTCTTGGATTATGGTCTCATGTCCCTCCCAGGTGTAGAGGATAGAAGTGAGTTTATTTCAGATTATTCATTGAACTGACTATTCCATGAGACTTCAGTCTGCCTTGCTTATCAGCTCCGTTCTCTCAAGTCCCACCGCCTTTACAGCAGGGCGAGTGGTGCCATGAATCGGGGTCCTGCAGTTGACTCAGATAGAAGAGTGGGGACCCTCAGAGAAGGAGGTGAGTGAGAATCATGGGGCAGAAACCAGGGAAGGCTCTGCCTTGCATCAAACTTGTACATTATTTTCTAAAGAAAAGGAGGAACATGAGTATTAAAATCACAACTACTACATTGCTTACAAGTTGTTTATTATTATAATCCCTGGTTTCCAGAGAAAGAACTTTAGATAAAGAGATATGGGACAGAGTCTGAAAGAACACTGTAAAGGCATATAAACAAGGGGGTGGATATGCATTCAATTTTGGGTGGGTCACTTGGGCATTAATTAGGACTGTTATGAAAATAGTTAAGAAAGATAAAGAGGATATTAATCATGAGGCAGGGATGGCTAATCCATTGAATGAATATAAACTGGATGATCAAACCTTGAAATTGGTGTAAGAGGCAAAAAAAGATTTTCCCCATTCAGGCAAAACAGGAAGTGAAAACGGCATCACTGATGACCATGCCTCATCCTCCATTGCCCGAAGGTGACTGGAGCATGGGATGAGGAATTTGAAAAAAATCAATCTAATCTTGAATTCTCTCCACTTTTTGATGAAGATTTAGTAGAGTCCATGAAAATGCTATCTTGGAGAGCCCATGAAAATGCTTTCTTTACAATCTAGGCAAGCTAGGGCACGGCAGAGGAAAGGAATTAGTTTCCCAATTCTTTCTCAGCCTCAGAGCTGCCTGGTATTTCCAATGTACTGACCGATCTATTTAAAACTCTAGGAGAAGGGATGGCATTGACAGCCCTTGGATATTATTGAGAGGGAGGAAAAGAACTGAGGCTATTTGAGTCCAGAATAAAAGAAGCATTTGTGTATCATGTGAATCCTTCAAGCCTTTAAACTTACTGCTCTAAACTTATTTATTGTCTCCTACAGGTATTATAGTACAAAGAGGATAAACTTTTAGAATTTATTTATTTACAACCATAAAGTTCATGAAATACTAACTTACCTTACTCTTCTTGTTCAGTGAGTACCAGGCAAGGACACAATGTCAACAATTATATGGGTTTTATCCCTGATGTATTATATTACTCCTAACTATCAATCAGTTTTCACGGAACTCTATAGATTTTCAAATTACATTTGCAGATTACTATGGATGGGATAGGAAATCATTATCCAGCTGGTAAGCTATGGGATTTCCTCATACAAACTGAATTTGTGATTATAAAAATTGTCCAATCATCTCCCATTCCACAGGCAGATACTTATTTTTATTGATGGCTTATCTAAGAGAATAGAAGGGATCCATGATTCAGATATTCATCAGTCTATTAATACTCCCTTTTTCTCAGCCAAACGAGTGGACAAGCTGTTTTGATTCACATATTACTATTAATTGATAAACCCTTGACTATCGGTTCAGATTCTGCTCATGTTGTAGGATTACTTCCAGCAACAGACTCATACTCACGTATACTCTAACCTCCCTGGTTTTATTGCAGAAGGAAATAAGCAGCTGATGCATTAACCTGCCCTAATGTTACTTCTCCAGAAGAAAACTACAAAGGGAAATGATCTGTCATTGCACATGGTTCCACTAAAACATCATGAATTCCTCTTGGAATCATCTGGCCCTAGACTATCAAGGACAATGACAGAGGGTTAGGAGACAGTGAAAGTCACCAGAAAGATAGAACACCTCCAGCTAAAGGGCAAAAGGAGATCTTGACCATATCATTACAAGTCAGGTCTGCCCACCTGGGGACAAGTTAAGGCCCATGCACCAAGGGAGAAGTGATTCTACAGATGATTCTGTGCTTATGACTGGATCTTGGGGCCATAATAGATTTTCATTCATTCATCTGAAGAAAGGACTGCATTTAGTTTTTCCATGGGGTTTGAATTACTTCCAATTTGCATGAATCAATCATCATAACATTGTGTTCTTATGGGTGTCTTTTCAAGCTAATAATATCATAATGTAACCAATAGTAATGGACAGTGTTTGGATCCCTGTTCTTGATGGCAGAATATCACATACAATGTCTCCAATGTACTAATATTTTTCATTATAGGATGCTGATGCATCATGTGACAATTAGGCTTATGTGCAACACCTCAAATCAAAACCACTCTGGATATCCTGCTATTAAAAAACAAAAAGGGGAGCGATGTCTGAACATGATCCAAGAATGGAGTCATGTGAGGAGAGTGCCTGTGGAAAAAAATTCAAGAAAACAGAGTCATCTTACTAGTTTTCTAGAAGGCGAGAGCTATTGTTACTAACTCAGATCCCTCTAGAGCAGTGGTTCTTAGCCTTCCTACTGCTGCTACTCTTTAATACAATTCCTCACATTGAAGTGGCCCTCAACCATAAAATCATTTATGTTACTACTACATAATTGCAGTTTTGCTACTGTTATGAATCATAATGTAAATATCTGTGTTTTCCAGTGGTTTAGGGGGGTTATGACCCACAGGTTGAGAACCACTTCTCTAAGGAATGGACTTATGCTTCTATGATGGTTAATTTTATGGGTCAATTTAGCAAAGCCCAAGGACCCAGATACTTCACTAAGTTTTTGGATGCTTCCCCAAAAAGACTGTAATATTTTATATCAGCAGAGTTTGAGTAAGGCAGATTGCCTCACATACTTAGGCAAGAATCATCCAATTACTTGAAGGATTTCATGGGAACCAACCAGGAATTCAGTGTGAAAACCAACTATGAATCTGAACTGTGATTTTTCCATGGGTTACCAGTCTACTATACCCCTCTGAAGATCTGGGATTTGCAAAATCTCTGAAAGTGTGTGACCAATTCCTTAAAACAAATCTCAATTGCTTTTGTCCTACATGTACAAACACACATATGGTGGTTCACACCAATAAGCATATCCTATTGAGTCTCATAGGACTTCTCAAGCCATATATTAACATAATATTTTTTGTTTATAAAATGTACTAACTAGAACAAGAAGAGTAACCATGAACCTGAGATTAAATACCTAAAGCTTATGCTACACTGAACAGGGGCCTGCCTATATCCCATCTACCACATATATACTACACACCTACGCATCATACATGCATATCTCTATGCATAGATGGCAAAGCATTAAAACAATGTTCTGAAAACCATAGTTGGTACTAACAATAATTGTAAACTTACATGTAAACCCAGTAACAAACATAGCAAGTGATCAGAACTGTACTACTTAGAGTACAAAGCACTCCATCATACAGTGGGTGGTATCCTAAAGCCTAGAAAAAAACCTAAAACCATAACCAGTCATACAGTTGTTCATAGCTTTGACGCAGTTTATGAAGAGATATACCTTATAAGTTTAAAAATATCTTAGATGTGCTTGAAAATAATTTTTAAAATCCAAGTATCAAAACACATTCATAATGCCAAAAAGTAGAGGCAATTCAAGTAGCTTACAACTGAGTGTCCCAGATAAATAAAAATGCATCCCCTCTACTCATCAGAATGTTAAATATGTCTCCATTAAAACAAGGCTTAGAGGAGGCTGCACAGATGTCTCAGTGGTTAAGAGCTCTTCCAAATGACCCGAGCTCCATTCCCAGCACCCACACAGTGGTTCACAACCATCTAGAGATCCTGTGGTCTCCACAAGCACCACTTACACAGGTGGTGAACAGACAGACATGCAGGCAAAATACCCGTACACCAAATAAGCCACATCAAAGTGATAGCCTAAAACTAAAAAAACAAAAACAAAAAACCATACTCATAAATTAATCAAAAGCAAAAAATTTGGCTTATAAGAGTTGCATAGCAATATATAAATAACAGAATCTACATGAAAATAATGAAGATACAAAACTATGATTCAATTTCACTAGAAAGGTGGACGTGAAGAACCTGACAGAGAAAGATGGGAAGCAAACTGAGTGGTGGCGGGGAGAGAAGTCAAGCTCACTGATTTTATATAATATACTCTTACTTTTAAAAACACAGAAAATCTGCAACGGGGAAGAAAATTTCAACAACTACTCAACAAACAGGCTAGAGAAGCATCTCCTCCCTGAGAAGACGCGGCTGAGATATTTCCAACACAGAGGCTTTTCTCACATGTCCTGCCTCTCGCACAGAGATGTCTCAACTTGGTAGCAAAATAAAATCACCATGAAGGGGGGCAGAAGCATGGGAGAAAACCAGCACGGTTCTCTCTGAGCAAGAGGACACACGGTCTTTTTCCATACTCACCACTGTGCCAAGAAACTGAATGCTCATGTTTCCACCCGCTTCTCGAGACAGACACTAGAAGAAGAAGAGAGTGTAAAATGAAATTGTATCCACAGAAGGAAAAGTGTATTGAGCGTTCATAATCACTACACAAAAACCGCAAATGCCCATCAAGCACTGACTGAGTGAAGAAAAGACAGACACTGTTTCTACACCCACAACACTTGGTTTTAAATGAGCAGAGTATCAAAGCCCCAGAGCCAAAAGCCAGTCACAGAGAACGGGGCGCATGGCCCCCATTGGTGAGAAAGTCTGGATAGGTGAGCCCAGAGATGGCGAATCTGTCCCTGTGACTTGAGAAAATGTTTATTTGGGCTCAGTGTATCATGGTGGTGGAGACACAGCAGCTTTTATCCATGGTGGCAGAAGATAAGACCCCAGACACGGAATGGTGCGGCCCATTTGGAGTCAGTCTTTCCCCTCAGCTAATTCCCTCTGGAAACCCAGACGGAAAAAACAGTTCTTAATCTAGTCAGGCAAAAAATCAACACTAACCACTACAGAGCATTAGTGGCTTCCACTACACTCAGAGCATTAGTGGCTTCCACTACACTCAGAGTATTGGTGGCTTCCACTGCACTCAGAGTATTGGTGGCTTCCACTACACTCAGAGTATTGGTGGCTTCCACTACACTCAGAGTATTGGTGGCTTCCACTACACTCAGAGTATTGGTGGCTTCCACTACACTCAGAGTATTGGTGGCTTCCACTACACTCAGAGTATTGGTGGATACACACACGCACAAGAAAGGAGATCCCACAGTCTCACCCTACACAAACACCAATTCAAAATGGACCACAGACTTTAACAAGGGATCTGAAAATTTGTTAATACTAGGTGAAGTTATAGAGAAAACACTTGTAGGATACGGTATAGACAAGGACTTTCTGAAAAGTACTACAACAGGTCAGAAAATAACAGCAGGAATTGACAAATAGGATTGTGTGAAAAGCCAGTGGTGGCAAGAACGTAGAAACCCTTATACACCGTTGGTAGGAGAGAGGGTTAGTAAAGCCAGCATGGAAATTAGCATGAAGTTCCTCAAAAACACTAAACACCCCTAAAACTGAAACAGTGTGTCCCACAGCAACAGTATTTCTGGTCACGATGCACAGATATAACTGTTAACCCATATTTCCTGCAGCACTGTCCATGATGGCCAGGTTATCATGGACAGGTTGACATGCCCATCAAGATATGCAAGAATGAAGGAAATGTAGTACATAAACACGATGGAATTTTACTCAGCCATTCAGAGATGAAATTGGGTCATTTGCAGGAAAACGGATAAAACCGAACATGGTCATGTTAAATAAGTCAGGCTCAGGTAATTATTGCATGCTTTCTCGCACGTAAAGGATCTAGATTTTTTAAAATATGTATATTAAGATGAAAGTACAGATGTGAGTATCTTGGGGTGAGGAAGTGAGGGGATGGAGAAGGAAGATGGGTGTAAGTATGCACAAACTACATGACACCTGTATGAAGATACTAAAATGAAGCCCAGCACTTTACACTCTGAATATGCAGCACTTAGAATTTAATAGAAAAATAAGCCTTCTTGAAAAATATTATGTTACCAAAAAGTCTAGGATAAATAAGGCACATAAGTAGTTAGTAGTTAGCTCCTCTTTCTGAGTGAGATATATCACCTGATCTCTCTTTTTCCTTTGTGTTTTTTTCAGAAGAATTCTGAAAGGCAAAGAGAAAACACAGAGCAGAGTACTGCAGGTTCTTTTCCTTTATGCCCCAAGGGAAACTAAAAATTCAGTGTTCCTGGTACTCCAGAAGCAGAACCAGGAGGATCAACCGTGAGGTCAAGGCCAGCAGAGCCTACGTAGTAAGTCTCGGGTCAGCCAGGGCCGCACAGTGAGACCCTGCATCTTCAAATGACAAACCTTGGGGGTTGAATCTTCAGTTCTGACCATGGCAGTTTTACTGTTGTCACTCATTCACCGATGGACTACAGTGCTCAGCACTGCTGGCTGAATTAAGATTCACTGTCCCAGAGGTTGGAGAGATGGATCAGGTTAAGAGCGTCCACTACTCTTCCAGAGGGTCCAAGTTCAGTTCCCAGCACCCACAGAGGAACGTTCCCAACTGCCTATAACTGCAGCTCCAGGAAATCCAATGTCCTTTTCTGCCAACCCCACCCCAGACATCCACACGTATGTAACACATGCATTCATACAGGCGCACATACATTATGTACACACAAATAAAAAATAAACCTTTAAAAGATCTACCTCACAGGACATCACAGCAGAGACAATAAATTGTAAATTAATTATGCTTCAATATGATAAAATCCCATACCAAAATGTATTAGGTTCTGTGAGACAAGAAGATCAACTAAACTTCCAGGAGGGTTACAGAAGGCTTACTGCTAAACACTAAAGTTTGGTGTTTAAAAATAAGCAGGACATAGCCAATAAGGTAAACAGGGTGGAGGGGCCTTAAAAACTTCAGAACTACTTACAATTGGAGAATTCCACATATAGCAATAGGTACCTATAGAAAATGAGGTCAACATCATGACAAGATACCAGCATGGTCATGTGACCTCTAAAATATGTGACTAGATAGACATTGTACATATTGGTGTACACGCACACACATGCAAACATACAGTAAAATGCTATTCAGCCCTCAACATAATGGAAATCCTGTCATGGGAAATAAATTTAAAGGACTGTATGGTAAAGGAAGTAAGCCAGTCGCAAAGAGACAAACAACACATGGCTTCATTCCCATGGAGATTTTTGAAAACCTGGACACAGAAGTAGCGAGCTGACAGGTAGAGAAGGATTAATAGAAAGGTAAGACGTTTTAGCTCGGTAGTTAACTTCAAGAAACCCAAAATAATACCAACTAATGCATTGTGTTACTGAAGATTGTTGAGCGGGTTGACATTAAGAGGCCCTGCCACGAATAGATGGGAAAGGTGAGGTGATGCGTGGCTTAATTAGGCTGGTTTAGCACTCTGATAATGCATACACATATTTGAGACATGTATAACCCACAACAATTTACCATGAGTGAAAGGAGTAATTTTGTGTTTATGTGTACATGTTTATATGGCACATGTATGCATGGCGTCTATGTGTACATGTTTATATGACACGTGCATGCACGTGTGTGGAGGTTAGAAGATGCTAAGTGTCTTTCTCAATTGTGCTCTATCAATTCAGCTATGGTGATTGCCAGCAATCCTCCTGCCTCTGCCTCCTCAGTACTGGAGTTGTAGATGTGCACTGCCATGCCTTTTAGCATTGATGCTGGAGTTCCAACTTAGTCCCATGCTTCCACAACAGCACAGTAAGCGCGTTTCTAAGAACGAGTGACTAAAAACACCATGCGGGCAGGAATGTTGCAAAAGGAAGTGAAAGGAAAACTTGTGTGCTGATGGGAAAGTTTATATACATTTTGGATTAGGAGCAAGCATGGGAAGCAGGAGGAAGGGGTGAGTAGTTCCGTGTGGCCAGAAGTAGGGGACAGTTGAAAGATGAAAGTGGCAAGACAGGAAACTGGGGAGGGCTTAACAACCATGTTCTGTTATGTCAGGGACTAAAGCTGTGGCCTGTGCATCCAGGCAAGCACTCTGTCTGTCTGTCTGTCTGTCTGTCTGTCTGTCTGTCTGTCTGTCTGTCTCCCTGCCTCTCTGTCTACCCCCCTCCTGAAGCCACATTCTCAGATCTATAAATCTCTTATACAGCACTGCTTTAGAAAGATTGACAGTCTGCAGCTGAAGATACACAGCAGTGGGGAGGGATGGACTAGAGACCCTTGCAACACCACGGGAATCATCCTCCGTTTGTAAGCCTGAAAGACGGTCTCATTTTTTTTTTTTGTTTTTTGTTTTTTTGTGGAGGCAAGTAAAGTATGGGACAGTGAAAAGCACGTGTTCCTTCTGTATGGGATGGGGGCACCTCTAACAGACTAACACATGGTCACTCCTCAGATGGAGAGTTCTACGTGGGGCAGGAGAGTGGGTCTTGCGCTTTCTCCTCAATGCCAATAGCATACAAGACAATGGTGTAGACACGGAACACAAATGTTATTCCCTTGCAAGAATGCTTCGGGTACTACGGGTTATGAAAGACAAGAGCAAACAGCACAGCCCTGAGTCAGCCTTTTGGACAAGTTGTCCAAAAGTAAAAGTTTGGCTGCTGAACTTAGAAGTGTAGCCATCAAAAAGTTAGGGAAGGAGTTACTGAGACCAGTGGAGAGGGTGAGTGAAAATCAGCAGGCTGGCTTTCACTTGGCTAAGGTTCAGGAGCAGTGTGAGAGGCAGTCCCTGCGCTCCACTGTCCTGGGTGAAGTATTTTCCAAGCTGTGCTTACATTTTCTTTCCTGCAGGTCTGTGTCAGAAAGTCACTGGAATAATAGGTCATTTCTAAATGTCAAAAACAGACAACAAAGAGCCTCATTTCAAGTAAAAATGAACAACAGAAAGTGCCATGCCCATGATCCATATAAACTTATCAAAGAGAAGAAAGCACAGAAAAATAACCCCACAAAAAATGATAGCATGACAAAAAAAGCCAAACGGATGAAAATCATAAATCCAAAATTGAAAGATACTATCATCTAAAAAGGAGACAAAACTCAAGAAACACTTTAAAATACAATGAATGAAATTTTAAGCACACTTGTCTCTCCCCACCTCCCTCTCTCTTTACATGCCCCCCTTACCCACTGAATGTACCAAGTCCAGTCTGTGTTGGCTGACTACTCCTGGGCACAGGGCCCACCCTGGACTGTAGTTGACATATCAGTTATCACACTGAGGATGGATTTGTTTTTTTAAGCAAAGTTTGAATTGGTTCACAAAGCGTTCTTTACCAAAATCACATGGGAACCTTCATCCATAAAATCCACCTTTACTAGAGTTTTAAGCATCTCATCTCTACTGAAGTTTGGGCATGTCATCTCTCGAAATACCTTTTTACAGACAGGTGCTGCTAACACTGCCACCTGTGTGACTTTAACTGCAGAGATCACTGCATGCAAC